TGTACATAGATACATAGATATATAAAATATATATATATATATATATATATGTTCATTATATTCTCTATCGTTTTGTACATAACATTTCATGTGTTTGTTTGTCGTTCCCTTTGCACAGTTTCGTCGTCCGTTTCTCTACGCGTTCTCGACGGTTGCATCACGCGTCGTCGCGTACTCCTATTCACGTTCTCGATTACTCTTTTTACCGTTCTCAATTTTGTTTCTTTTCGTTTCGTGTCTTTTTTTGTCATTATTATTGTTTTTTTTGTCGTTCAATCGTCGCTTGTTTCGGTCGGCAAGATCGAAAGTCTCATTTATTCGATGTATTATCGTTTTCGTTTTTTTTTTTTTCTAAATGTATCGTGTACGTATAATAGAGAGTATATAGGTAGATCAATCAAGGATATGCCTCGCTACGTTCAAGTCAAAGAGGGATGCACAATGAGTATGCGAGGTGGCTCGAACTTGGCCAAGCAGTGTATCGCAGTTCGTCGACGATCGGAGAGGGGCTGCTCCCGTTGTTGATCAATCGTTTCACGAGAGTGCGACGAAATGACGCTCTGGAGGAGAGGAGACCGCGGTGCGATGGTACAGAAGAAAATCTGGCCGGACAAAATTCTCGAATCCAAGAACGACGATTCGTTCGCGACAGATTTACCGGGGACGATCGATTTCAACATTCACAATTTACGTTTCTCTACGGAACGATTTCAACGCGAATTCAACCGCGTTTCAGATCCTTCATGGTTAAATCGATATAAAAATGAAATATATCCGTTTTGAAATTATACCTTCTTTCTACAATATATCGTTTGTCCATCGAATTCGACTAAACAACGTTTACGAACGTGCAATTGTTACGAAGGCTTGAAAGAACAAAGTTCTACGCGCGTCTCGATCGATGAAAATTCGTTGCGACAAAGTTACATCATGAAATTCATCTAATGGATCATTACCGACTACTTTCTAGAGCAATACAGTAAATTCTCCCGTATTTTCGTTCGGTTTGTAAACGAAAATGGACGATTTGGGGAGAGGAGATCCGTCGATTCGAGCCTCGCGGCTCATTTTTATAGTTGCCGATTGTCGTAACAATTATAAAAACGAGATGCAAGGCTCGAATAATCGTGTCTCCTGTTCCCAAATTGTCCATTTCTGTTTACAAGCCGAAGGAATATTAGGAAGACTTTATCGTACCTACATTTCGGGCGAAACTGGTATATCGATTCGTGGCGTCGCGCGTCTGGAACGTTATCGAGATTCAATTTAGTCCGGCTAGATTACTGAAATATCGCACTGCGGAGTGGATCGAAAATTGCGGAACGGATGCGGATGGACGGATAATTGTTTCTGCACTTTCGGGACGGTTGCTCGAGGCGCTCGGGACGAGAACCAAAGAGAGAAAAATGAAAATCGCGGTCTAAAGATCGGTCGCGAGCAACCGAACGGAAAAAAAACGTTTGCCGCCGTAACAAATAAATGAAACTAGGACTGCCTGATTGTGGACGATAGAAACGTGGGGTGAATAGAGAAAGGAGAGATAGAGCGAAAAAAAATATATAGAGAAAGAGAGAGAGCGAGAGAGAGAGAGAGAGAGAGAGATGCTACGTGTTTTTCGTGGCTTTCACTGATAATGGTCGCTGCTGGCTCATCGGACTGTCGGCCGATCGTTACGCATCAAAATTTCTTTTCCATTTGCAACGCAGGCAACGCGCATTGTATCTCAAAAATCATATGTATGCGTATACGATATAGAAAAGGTATATACCATATACATAATAGAAATGTACGAATCTCTTGTTACGGAGTAGTACATAGTCATTGTGCATCCTTAAAAAACAATAGAATCGTCAATGTTGCATGCAAACGACAGGTTCGACTGGTTCAAAACGATTCCGATGACGAATGGCGTACGTGAACGCAGTCCAAGAAGTCGTTCCTCTGGTCGAATCGATCGATACGCATGCATCGAGAGAAAGAGAGATAGAGTAGACAGATAGATAGAGATAATATTATATGTATATATATGTAATATACAGGGTGTCCCAAAAATGTCTCGCAATCCGGAAATGGCGGGTTCCTCGGATAATTTGAAGCAACTTCTTTCTTTACAAAAATGTTCTCCGAGGCACCATTAACGGGTTATTAACGAAAAACAGTGACCAATAAGAATCGAGTACGGCTGACGCGATGCGGCCCAGCCAGCCAGCGCACGAAGCCCAGTTCCGCTCATTGGCTCGGTCGCCTCGCGCCAGCTGAGCTGGGATTCGACCGGTCGACCGCTGGCGCTGTTGGCTCGGCCGCCTCACGCCAGCTGAGCTGGGATTCGACCGGTCGACCGCTGGCGCTGTTGGCTCGGTCACCTCGCGGCAGCTGATCTCGCCTCTCACCACTGTTTTTCGTTAATAACTCGTTAACAGTACCCCGGAGGAAATTTTTGTAAAGGAAGAAGTTGCTTCAAATGACCCGAGGAACCCGCCACTTTCGGATTGCGAGACATTTTTGGGACACCCTGTATATATGTAATATATATGTAGATCCACTGCAAATGATGCTGTCGTGTTCGCAAATACCGATTCGCGAAACGCGACTCTCGATTCGAAAGCTACGCGCCCGAGGCAAAACGAAAAGAGAAACGAGTCTTGAACGCGGAAACAACACCGAGACGGCTCTACCCGGGGCAGTCTCTTTTACTTTTCGCGGTTTTTGGAACAGAGAAAAAAAAATAACAACAACAAAAAAAAAGGAAAAAAAAGAAAGGAAAACGAAAACATTCGAAAATGCCGGACCGCGTTCCGCGGAAGGAATCCGCGAGATCGATCCGCGAACAAGCTTCGCGAGACCCGCGTACAATAGATCGCGTGAATCGACTTTTGCCGAAAAGTTAACGTCTCGGCCGAAGTTTCGGGCCGGTTTCGATCACTGCGGACGTGTGTTTGCGGACGAACAGTGGTACTTTACAGTGGCACGTGTACTAGCATGCTGTCGAACGTCGATATGTCGACCATTCGATTTAACATACGTGTACTCTGAATTATGGCAACTCACCGTTTGGTGAACCTCGACGACAGCTTCGAGAAGAAGGACGGTCTCGCTAGCGGGCTGATTGCGTTCGTGTCCTGCGTGCGAGTGTGACCCTGAAATGTCCAAGAACGCGATTACTACCGTCCCTTGTCCTTCGCGTTCCCGAACCGTGGATCTTTCTGCACGTTCGATTTGGAAACTTTCCGAGAACCGGGCAGCTTTATTTTATTTGCGGTCGGGAATCGCGTCGTTCCCTTAACAACTAGACTGCGGATTTTATGCATTCGCGACAAAAGTGTATAGGTCAAATTGAAAATTGCGAGGACGTTCGAAGAATTTGTCGTCGCATTATTTTCAAATTATATATATTATAATATAATATAATATTATATATATATATATATATATATATATATATATATATATATATAATTATAATATAATATAATAATATAATTTATATATATACATATATATGTATAAATTATATAATTATATTTAATATAATAATATATTATATATTATATTTCAATTATTAAAAAAGGAAAGACATTTTCATTTAGTTTACGCTTCTTAGAATTAAGGCCGACAATTCTTATTTTACATAAAGATCCGTGGTCTACTTATCGCGATCCATAAACATTGGCATAAAGATCCGCAGTTCCATCGTTATCCTTATATTCTACAGAGATTGGACGCCGTACTTTGTTTTCGAAAGGCGAGCCAAAATATTCGACGTTATTTTATTTAAGGCATAGTTATTTAACCGTACAATTCTAAGTGTACGCTGTTCAAACCTCGCTGCTCTGTGAACGATTCAGTTATCCCTTGCACACTGTTCACCTAATTGTTGCACCGGTATCCATCGTTTAACCATTTAGCTGTTTTTGACGTGTATACTCGTCGCAACTAGACTGCGGATTTCATGCGCTCGCGGTAAAAATGTGGCTAGGTACAATTTAAATCGGTGAAAATATTAAAAGGAACCGAGAAAAGAATCTTGATGTAATTGAATTTGAAATTATTATAATCATTATCGGAAGAAAACAAACTAGTGCTTCCACTTCTATATTGCATAAAGATCCGCAGTCCAGTAATAACGCGACTCTTGCCAATTCCTCGTGACGAGTATACTCGTCGAAATCAGCTAACCGGTTAAAGGATACATATCATACTTTGATATTCTTTATTAAATTGTGTATTTTATAAAAGCGTCGCGTTTAAACAAAATACGATAAAATCGAACGTGTACGGTACAAACACGGTAACTTACACACTTTTCAAAGAGATTGCAAACAGCTGACTGGTCGAACAAATCTAATTTCTCCGCGTGACGGACAATTCGTTACTGTAGGAGCCGAAGGTCGACGACCGGAGCATCCGCGAGCACGTTACGATTTCAGAGCGACTTCCAAAATCATAACAACACTTGCGGACTCCCGTGCGTTATACGTGTGCGCGACATACGTGTGCGTGCATACGTGAGCGCCGCGGTCTAACATCGCGACACTGCTAGAACAATCGGTCAAAATTTAAAGGAAGGCCAAATTCGAAGAAAGATTCGTAACTGTTGTGACCAGAGCTCGCGGGGCACGAGGCAAAACGCGACGGACGTCGATACGCAATTTACGATCGCGATTTACGATATGGAATATTATATTTATTATAACAAACACGGCTTACGGCTTTGGCGTACGATTACGAGAATTATTTAACATTGCTTTACCGTCTTTTTATTTTATATTTTGTGTGCGTCACTGTTTAGTAATAAATACAGGGTGTCCCAAAAATGTCTCGCAATCTGGAAATGGCGGGTTCCTCGGATCATTTGAAGCAACTTCTTCCTTTACAAAAATGTTCTCCGAGGCACCGTTAACGAGTTATTAACGGAAAACAGTGACCAATAAGAATCGAGTACGGTTGACGCGAGGCGGCCCAGCTAACCAGCGCACGAAGCCCAGTTCTACTCATTGGCTCGGCCGCTTCGCGCCAGCTGAGCGTTTTTCGTTAATAACTCGTTAACGGTGCTTCGGAGAAAATTTTTGTAAAGGAAAAAGTTGCTTCGAATGACCTGAGGAACCCGCCACTTTCGAATTGCGAGACAGAATAATTAGCAAAACATACTACAGTAATGTCTCCCTAATTGACCCTAAGATTGTCCGCAGAAATGGACAATTTGGGAAGAGGAGATACGGTTATTCGAGCCTTGCGGTTCGTTTTTATAGTTACGAATTATCAACACGATATAAAAACGAGCCGCAAGGCTCGAATAATCGTATCTCCTTTACCCAAGTTGTCCATTTTTGTGCATAATCTGAGCGTCGATTAGAGAGAAATTACTGTATCTCTAAATTACAAATGTCGACGCTAGAATCATGGAAAATTTACATACTGCTCCTATATGACAACGTAAACAATTCGTTTAGAATGTACAACGGTCTCGTCCGCTTGCTTTTCTATTCGGGCATATCGATGGATTAGGATTGCTCACGCCCGAGCCTTTGTTGCCTCCGAGTGCTGCACCAAGCTGACGATTCTGAAAATTTAGGGATCTACCCTGTTTAGTTCGACGGAAGCATAGAAGTCTAGAACCTATTTAGTTCGTTGTTAATCAACCGATTCGTTTGCTGTCTATTTGCACACGATATCTGGCAGTAAAAGATGTTACGCGTTCTTTAATCTTTCGAAAAATAGCGCAAGAGAGCTTGGAAGATCGTAGAAAGACGAAATCGAACCGTAGAAAGAAACAGCATTTTTTTAAGCAAACGAGACAGAACGGAGAACTAATAAAATGCGAATAAATGCGAACGTTGCACATTTGGCGATCCGTTTCCTTTTCACGAATTGTTTCGGTTACCGAAAATTTGATGGATAAAATCATGCTACCGTCGAACTAAGTAGGCTCTGGTCTATGCTTCCGTCGAACTGTACAGGACAGAGTCCTACCTTTTTTATTAGAAATCACCGCTCGGTGCAGCACTTTCCCGGAGGCAACGAATTCTTAAGCGCGAGCACCCTCATTTCCTCTCGGCTCGCCTCTTCCACGTAAACGATGCCTTGCCGTCGCATTCCATATTTAGAAGTTTCGACACCTGTCGAAAAGCAAACAGAACGTTGACACCTCGGCCGTGCCGTACTCGCGCGAACACTATCAGAGAACGTCTATATCGCGGTCGAGAAAGTCTACGAAAAACACGTTCATCCTTGGTCTCGATATATTCTTCGACGATCGTTTCGTTTATGCGAGTCCCTGATTTTTAATTAATCCGAACGGTGCGCAAGAGTTAACCCTTGAACTCTAGAGTCATTCAGCGAGACGGATACAGTTTCCCAATAACTGTATTATGGTGTTCGTCATTGCGGGAACTACAGTAAATTCTCCCTAATTGACGCTCAGCTTGTAAATAAAAATGGACATCAAAATGTATATATATACATAGAAAATAATAAATAATGTATACATATATAATAATAAATAATAAATAAAAAATATATATATACATATATAATATAATATAATAATATAATAATATATATACATATACAGGGTGTCCTAAAATTATGGTACTTCCGGAAAATTAGAGATTACTGAGATCATTCGGAACAACTTTTTCCTTTACAAAAATTTTCTCCGAGGCATCATTTACGAGTTATTGACGAAAAACACTGGCCAATAGGAGGCGAGCGCGAAGCGGCCCAGCCAACGAGCGCACGAAGCCCGGTTCCGCTCATTGGCTCGATCGCCTCGCGCCAGTCCAGCTCGCCCCTCGTTGGTCATTGTTTTTCGTGAATAACTCGTAAACGATGCCTCGGAAAAAATTTTCGTAAAGGAAAAAGTTACTTCAAATCACTTCAGGAACTCCTCATTTCCCGGAAATACCATAATTTTAGGACACCCTGCTTATACGTATATATATAAACAACTGGATTGTCAACAATTATAAAAACGAAGTGCAATCGTATCTACTCTTCCTAAATTGTCCACATCTGTCTACAAGCTGAAGGAAAAATCAGGGCGAGTTTACCGTACGTACGATCGAATAATCGTATTATCTTGCCGGAATACGAAGCAACAACACCGTTCGACAAATTTCGACGGTCCGTTCGACCGTGCAACAAATTTTTCCCGCGATGGCCAATGCTCGCGGTTATTTCCGTTTCGACGCGACGTTTGATGTTCTGCGCGGCAGCCTCGCGGCCTTTGAGAACTTCAAAAGCGACGACGCGACAGCATCGGGATCGACAAGAATCGGCCATCGATCCTCGAAACACAAAGCGCGAAATTGCCGAACGGCGTGTGATCGATGTGTAACGGTGAAAGAAATACGTGGATTTTTTTTTTACGCGAGCGTTTTATAGTAGAGAGAGAGAGAGAGAGAGAAAAAAAGAGATTGTACTCACCCGATCAAAAATTGGCTGATCTCTAGCGGATCTCTGGCCAGAGTGGAACGTACTACGACTTGGAACATTTCGAGGAAATGCTGGTGTTGTAGGTGTTGCCAGTCTATTACTTGGTGACACACCCAGGCTAATTAGAAATAGTATAATTTCTATTACATTAAATTTGCTCGTGACAAGTCCTTACATAATTAAATAAACGTAGAAAGAAAGAGGACGATAGACGAAGAGAGAAGGAGAAAGAGAGACAGAGCGAAAGGTCGAGAGAGAGAGAGAGAGAGGTGTGGGGGAGGAGAGAGAAAGAGAGAGAGAGAGAGAGAGCGGGTATACTACGCGTAATAATTGCTTTGTCAGTGTAGACTCTCCGATAAGAGAGCGTTTGTGCGTTAAAATGCGTGAGATCGTTTGTTTCCGTATTGTACGAGTTTCGCCGAGAAAGAAGCGTGAGAGGAAGAGAGAGAGAAATAAGGGAAAGGAGAGGGAAAAGAGAAAGAGAGAGAGAGAGAGAAAGAAAGAAGGGAAAAGAGAGGGAGAAAGAGAGAGAGAGAGAGAGAAGGGAAAAGAGAGGGAAAAAAGAGAGAGAGAGAGAAGGGAAAAGAGAGGGAAAAAAGAGAGAGAGAAGGGGAAGGGAAAAAGAGAAAGAGAGAGAGAGACGGGGGGAAGAAAGGGAAAAAGAGAGAGAGAAAGAAGGAAAAGAGAGGGAAAAAGAGAGAGAGAGAGAGAGAGAAAGAAGGAAAAAGAGAGGGAAAAAGAGAAATAGAGAGAGAGAGACAAGATGCAAAATAAAGAAACGATCAGGGAGAGAAAATAAATCATTATACCATCCGGCGCGGATTCTACGAGAACGGTTGTGTAATGCGCAAGCGATGGTTTTCTACGTCTTGCAAAGCGAGCTTCGACCGTTTCGGCTAAGAAAGCAAAGAACTGCGGACTAAGTATCTTCGCTAACGAACGAATCGCTAGACGATCGACTATTATACACTCACGATGACGGCGGAAGGTTTTCGACCACTCTCGATCCGTTCTTCACCGATTCGAAGAATCGAGCGGCAAACGAGAATTTGCCTCGAATCAGAAATATCTGATAAACACGGTCGGTCGCGTATCCTATTGATCTTATACTTTTTATATATCTTATTAATCTTGTACTTTTCATACATCTTATTAATCTTATACTTTCCGCATATCTTATTGATCTTATACTGCTTGCATATCTTATCGGTCTTATTAGTTATTCCACGAGATTCTTATAACTCGTGCGAATCGCGCGAAACTCGTACTTTCAATGAATATTTTTAACTGCGGCGGTCGCAGAGAATACAGAAAAGTCGTATGTAACCCTTTGCACTCGAAGCCACATTTTAACTGTAAATCTAAAATCATTTTTCTGACTTGTAGTACTTTTATTTTACAAGACAAAGTGCATTCTATTCATACGAAATTTATAGTTTCGCGACTCGTACAACAGTTATAGACTTTCAACCATTTTTCACGTCTAGGCTTTCATAATATAAAAATTATCTTAGAACGCGATATGTAACAATGTTAACGGTGTCTCAGAGTCGCCACTCGAGTGCAAAGGGTTAACACGAAGAAAATGAACGAACACACCCCGATCCCGTATTGCTCGAGCAATTAAACCGCGCGAGCGCAATTTTAGAAAATTGGAAGCTAGAAAAAGGGAGCACCGTAAATTAAGAAACGACGGCGAGCATAGCGCGACCGCGTCTTCGAGGAAAAGTGGTCGGATACCGTCAGCCGGCAATGTACACCGATGCAATTCATTTGTTTGCACATGCTTCGCCGAAGATGTACGATGGAGTAAAATTAGAACCTCATTTTCAGTGACGCTCGCTGAAAACACCGCGCGTTTGCTTCGCGATCGATTCGACGATAGAAACCCGCGCGCCGTCTGCCCGATAAACAATCGCCTCTTAAGAACGAAAACAAACGAAATGACAGATATATTCGTGTAATCTCTCGCGAGGAAAATTACAGGCGGCGAGAGAGAGAGAGAGAGAAAGAGAGAGAGATCACCGGCCCATTTCCGTACACGAACGAGATTGTGCCCCGTTCGTGGCCACGGGTTAGTCATACATATATATACAAAACAGAAAATGTAGTCGGATGTTAACAACACAAAAGGTTAGTAGTCAAGCGTTATGTTACACGGATCGTTCGAAATCTCCAACGATCCTTCGAATAGTGTGCGCTACTATCGTTATCATGCGATCGCTAAATCAATGCAACGCAACGGCACGATTACGCTGTACTGCGTTCTAATGTATTCTGTGGTCTGAGTGGCTGATAAACCGCCGAAAAAACGATTTCATCCGGAGAGATTCTTCTTCTATTCGAGAACGATGCGCGGCAAAAAGAAAAAGAAACCGAACGGACGAACCGAAACGGAAACAATGAAGAAAAGAACCAAAACCTGCGCGACGCCGCGACGTTCCTGCGATTCGCCGGAGACCAAGTTCACGTTCCGTGACCGGACTGCGGATTTTATGCACGATTTTAGGCAAAACTGGGCAGATTAACCCATGGACTGCCAACTACGAGATATCTCGTAGTAAGCGTATGTACCAAAACTGCCAGCTACGAGATATCGCGTAGTGGGTGCTGCAAGTTTAGATTGGCTACAAATGGCTATTTGAGTTAGGAACTATTAGAAAGGATGAATGAGAAAGGTATACAGAGTTTCCCAAACATGTCTCGTAATCTGGAAATGGTGGGTTCCTCAGGTCATTTGAAGCAACTTCTTCCTTTACAAAAATTTTCTCCGAGGCACCGTTAACGAGTTATTAACGAAAAACAGTGACCAATAAGAATCGAGTACGGCTGATGCGAGGCGGCTCAGCCAACCAGCGCGCGAAGCCCAGTGCCGCTCATTAGCTCGGTCGCCTCGCGTCAGCTGAGGTGGGATTCGACCGCTCGGACCGCTGGCGCCGTTGGCTCGGCCGCCTCGCGCCAGCTGAGCTGGGAGTCGACCGCTCGGACCGCTGGCGCCGTTGGCTCGGCCGCCTCGCGCCAGCTGAGCTCGCCTCTCATTAGTCACTGTTTTTCGTTAATAACTCGTTAACGGTGCCTCGGAGAAAATTTTTGTAACGAAAAAAGTTGCTTCAAATCACCTAAGGAACCCGCTACTTTCAGAATGCGAGACATTTTTGGGACACCCTGTATAGTGTAGAGAACATATTGATTATCAATAAAAAAAAAATACTGTTAATGCCATTGCAATATTATATCGGTAACTTAATATTATTACATTTTGTAAAACTTCATGTTTTCTTTCAAATAAAATCGTGGCACCCAGGGCAAGACGCGCTAAATTTGCGTGGCAGTCAATGGGTTAAATGCGAAACTGTACGGATATCGAACGAATTTACGGATGGCGTTACATTGTCTTTAACTTATCGCTATTATCGAAAGAGGAAAGCCATTTGCATCCAATTTATGTTCATTACAATTAACCTTGACAATTTTTATTCTGCGTAAAGACCCGCAATGTAGAACGATCGATAGAATCGCATTAAAAATCGATACAATTTTGAAGAATTATACGAAGAAACGATCGCTTGGTCCCGGCCGATCGGCAAAAAGTCGCGCGGCGCGCAACGATGAGGGGATAGAAACGAATCAACGATATAAGGCGGTCATGCAAGTTAGAGGCGAAATTTAAGGCGGATGGAATGTTTCGAATAAATGACCAGAAACTGTCCTAGAGGAACCTGCGAGGCTGATTTTCTCACGCGGACAGGGTGCACGCCGCGCGGACGCGAGCGAAAGAATTCCAGTTACCCTAAGAGAGTTAGTGGCCCAGGAAGAAAGTTGAGAAACGAATTAACCAATGAACGAACGAATGAAAGAACCAAAAGTAATGCTTTCCCGGTACATCTCGGCTGCTCCGAGGGTCTAACGCGTGGCGCGGCGAGGTTTACGCTCCTGTTCAACTTTATCAAAGATTTCCTCCGTTACGTAGTTCGATCGATCTATCGCTTAATAGTATCAATGATCCTTTTATGTTAATAAATCGAAAGCGTTTAATGCTCGGTAGTCGCAGCGTTAGGTTTTCGAGATGGCACAGCTCGGGTCCGTTCCGACCCAGCAGTTCAAAGACATCGTCCAGCTCTTTTCGCAGATTCTAGCGAATAATACAAATTGGATGTTTAATCGTCCGCGATAAACAAAGCAGCATGACAAATGTGTCGCAAAAATTGATCAAGAATTTCAGATTTTGCTGCGAGAATCGATAAAGTATCAGTTTCGAAAGTGTCTTCTGATTCTTGTAGCAAGAAATTGGCAACCGAAAGGAAGAAATTTGTTCTGCTTTGCATCAAGGTTATAATAATCCTCGGAATTAAGCAGGGCCCGAACTCTGCCATCTGAAAAATTCTGCTAGGTGTTCGCTTTCCAATGGTCAAATGTCTCGCGAATTGTAATTAGTTTCCGAGGGAATCCTCGTCGAAGCTGGCGCGGAGCGTATTTGGATTCCGCGCGTTAGACCATCGGGCGCGTGAAATGAGTGAAGGATCGCGCGCAAGGTGTCTGATAAGGCATTGGGGACCTGTACCTCTGTCTAAGAGGGTCAGCAGTGGCGAGTAAGGAGTTGTGGGCGTTGCGTGGTTGAGGGTCCAGTAGTGAATGGTCGCTGGGGGGTACGCCACTCGAGGATCGGTGACCTGCGCTGATGCTCGCAGACTTGGTGTGACCCCGTGTCGGTCTAGTGCCCTCGCCCATGCTGCGCACAAAACTAGTCAACAAACTGCCGTGTCCGGCCCTATATCCTTTTTTTTTCTTTTTTTTCCTCTAACACACGAACCGCTTCGGTCTCGTGGATCGAAGCGCAAGGCTCGTACATTTTCGCAATTCGAATTCGGGTTCTCCGTACGGGAGAACGGTCGGAAGAAGAGAGAGAGAGAGAAAGAGAGAGAGAGAAAAAAAATAGAAACAAAATGAGATATCTCTTTTCGATACCGCGGTTCGTGGACACTCGGGCGACAGAATTTTGCCGAAGATTTGACGGTACCGAAGAGCGAATGGAACTCGAGCGAAACGGATTTCGTTTTTCACCGAGAATTTTGGGAGCGGGACGGTGTACAGGTTTCTCTCCGTATCGTCGCGTCGCGGCCGGCCGTTCCGGAGCGGTGAATTTTTTTCTTTCTTTCACGCGGAGAATAAAATTGCATCGGTTTCGTTGCTTGAAAGTTAACCCTTTGCACTCGAGTGGTGACTTTGAGGCACCGCCAACATTGTTACAGCATATTCCAAGATAACTTTTATATTCACAAAGTTTACGTTTAAGAAATTGTTAAAAGTTAAATTGTTAAATTTACAACAATTTTGTTTAAATTGTTAAAAGTTAAATTGTTAAATTTACAACAATTTTGTTTAAATTGTTAAAAGTTAACCGTTGTACAAGTCACCACCAAGACTCAATTTCATATGCATAAAATGCACTTCGTCATATGAAATGGAAATACTATAAGTCAGAAAAATTATTTTAAGTTTACGGCTAAAATAGCTTCGAGTGCAAAGGGTTAAATGCACCGAACCTTGTTGCTTCTCAAACACTAAATCAGATTTAACCGTAGAATAAATAACATTGTAGGGAAAATAACAAATATAATTTACCTAATCTCTGTATTTTTTGGTAATTTTATAACTAATGGTAAGAAAAACCCGCACATATATTCGGTAAATAAACGAATAAATCATTTCCAAAATATAGTAGAACAAATAATACATTACAGATCATATAATAGCCTCAATGTTTCCAGATTTATTTACACGTTCGCAGGCAAGTTAAAAATATTCGTGGGGTCGCCGACAACCCCCAGGGGATAAATATGGGTTAATAATATTGTTAATACGATTTTGATTAAAAAGCTATCGAAACGAAAACTGCGGGCTTCGTCAACGTCCGCGAGACCGTAAAATAAACTACTGCACAGAAAAGTCCGAAAGTTTGCTAAATTCCTGGAACCAGCTCGTCGGCGCGACGTTACGGAGTAGAGAGCGTACGATGGGATTAGGGAGAGGACGAGAACGAGACCGCGGGTCCTGCTGGGAGGAGTCTCGGCTGGCAGGATGTGCACCGTGTGTCGAGGGGAACGGAACACGACGCTAAAATATTATAAGAATGACACATGTATGATGGATGATGTTAATGGTTGTTTTCTAGGCGCATACGGTCCGCAAATCTAGTATTTACGTTTGTAAAAAAAGACAGAGAGTGACGAGAGAGAGAGAGAGAGAGAGAGAGAGAGAGAGAGAGAAAGAGAGAGAGAGAAAGAGAGAGTTATGGTGATAAATGTGACACTGTGAACAGAGACTTTGGTATCGAGAACGTATGTATATTAGCAAGCGGAACTTGTATAATTGTGTGTACGTAATTTGTATACGCCTCTGTTATTCAAGATCTATCTGTTTCTCGGTTAAACATCTGTCAAGCCAATAAAGAAAGTGGTCTGAAAAAACGAACGACTGGCAGGCAGCAGCCAACATGCTAGAGCAACAAACAACAAACAGATCAACTGCCTGAACGAAGGGGGAGGGCTTAACGACAGATTCTTGTTGTTATATAATACGTATAAATCTATGGCGGTACGTATGTAGTGGTATATATAAGTGTACATATATGTAGATCTACGAGAGACAGAAAGAAAGAGAGAGAAAGAGAGAGAGAGAGAGAGAACGAGCCCGCGGAGATCGGCGACGAGAGAACGTTCGTTTACATTGGTTTAGTATTGTTTGCCGCACGAGCAAATCGATCGCCCACGGTTAGTCGGTACAATTGAAAACAGTTTAGTCAAACAAGAAACTTCGAGAAAAGAACAACCAATTACGGACCGAGCTTTTTCATCTTTTCATTTTATCCATACTGTGCGCATCGAGCCGAGAAAACGAATATTAAAATACGATGCTCGACTGTGTAGGCACTGCACAGGCACATTGGTATTGGTTTCGCGTGGACGCGTGTTCATGCTGCGATATCGTCTCCGCCGGTGCGAAACCACGAGAAACCGAGATAATAGAAGAAGAGGCACAATAGTCGGACAAAATTACGGACACCTCGCAAAATTACAGGGATCCCCCTCCTCCCTGTTGCAATAGTTACAATAAACAACATTGCATGCAGACACACAGAGCCACTTAAACTTCGATCGATGCTCCCTGCAGAAATAATCGTGTCGTATACAATTGATGTTCGGCGCGCGCGCGTGCACGCGCGGAAGCAATATTAATCCTTTGTTACCGTAATCGCAAGGATGTCTGGTAGACCGAGGATTTTATGAGATTCGTGAGAAGTATGATTAGCAACGATTCAAAGCGGCTGAAAATCAGTCGAAGAGCATCGATGTGTCGCTTTCTACTGAAACGATTCGAAATAGAATGAGAGGTGACACAGCTGTTCGCGCGCAGCAGATGCAGAATGTATTGCACGCACAGATCGACAATGACACTCCATAAAGATCCGCGTAATTTCGTCCACTAATGCGCTTGATTTTCGCGGATCGCCAGAAGCCAGTGTCCACACATCGTCGAGACAGATAGACAGAGAGAGAGAGAGAGAGAGAGAGAAAGAGAGAGAGAGAGAGAGAGAGAGAGGAAGAGAAAAAGACAGAGAGTGAAAGAAAGAGAGAGGACAGGCGAATTTCTCAGCCGTGTCGAGCGAAATCGAATACACTCCGTTCGAGTCGCGCGATTACGCAGAACAATGAAACAAAAAAAAAACAAACGAAAAACAAAAGAGAGATAGACAGATTAGAGAAGTAATTTAGTTGTCACTATACCTGGGTGCATCGTTGGTTCGTTCGGTGGACGAGGAGGACGTTTTCGCTTGATCATAGGAGATGGTGCTACGTCGACCACCAGAACCAGGGGCAGGTGAGGTGAGAAGCCGACCGCCACCTGCCCCTGCATTCATCGTGTTGCTCTTGCCTGCCCATCCCCTACCACCGGGACTTGTACCCACGCCTAGAATGAACATTGTCACTGCAAGCCTCATTAGATATAGTTCAACACAAAACAAAGCAGCGTACTTTTTTTTTTGGTTTAAATTATAACGCAGGCGGTTTTTTGCAACGAGTATGTGTTCAGGAAAGGAGGAGGGTTTACGGTTTCGGGTCACCGGAACACGTCTGATCCGCTTCTTTCTACGACCATTCCCGGAGAAAGAGCGAGCAGATACGACGCTGAAACTGTTCACCGTGTGTTGTTATTCCGATGATTGTTTACAACTAGACTGCTGCGTCTTATGCGTTCGAAAGCGTTCAATGCGATTGTCGGGCATCTCTAAAATTCCCTTTTGCATTCCCGTACGGTCCGACATCGCGAAAATATGTTCAAAAAATATTCGGTACGCGTTCTGCGCTCGTACCAGCCGCGGAGCTGAGACGTTATTCGCGAATTATAATTATTATTATATACAAGGGTGTCCCAAAAATGTCTCGCAATCCGAAAGTGGCGGGTTCCTCGGGTCATTTCAAGCTACATTTTCCTGTACAGAAATGTTCTCCGAGGCACCGTTAACGAATTATTAACGAAAAACAGTGACCAATAAGAGGCTAGCTCGGCTGGCGCCCGGTGGCCCAGCCAACCAGCGCACGAAGCCTAGTTCCGCTCATTGGCTCGGCCGTCTCGCGCCAAATGATCTCGCCTCTGATTGGTCACTGTTTTTCGTTAATAACTCGTAAACGAAGCCGCGGATTGCATTTTCGCTAAGAAAAAAGTTGCTTCGAATGATCTCAGGAATCCCCTACTTTCGGATTGCGAGACATTTTCGGGACACCCTGTATATATTATATATTAATTATTATAATACGAAATATTCTCGAATTCTTTTACCATCGTTCTCGCAGATTATTGAAAAATTTTGTAACGCATTCGCATAAAGATACGCAGGCTACTTATAACTTTGCATGAACCCCCGGATGATGAACTGGGACGAATGTGCAGAGGTGTGCAGGGTCATTTCCATCTACGAGAGAATTTTCTATTGTGCGCGAGTCGCGAAAGGAACCGTGCGCTTCGAGTCTTCGAATTTTATACGTACTCTTACGCTAGGGCGTACGTCGTACGTCGCATAAATAAACGAAGTACGGTAGCAGCTACAGCTACGGACGGGTTCAAATGACCCTGCATACGCTGCATGAGAGATGAGGGCGTGCACGGAGCGCGCGATCGTCGCAAAACTGAACTAAAAACCAAATCGTTTGACCGTCCACGTTTTCGTTGCGGTCAACTTCGAAGAATAACTCTAACGAATCTGACCTCCGCGATCGAGGTCATCGAGCGATCTAGCCTCTGCGCGTAATCTAAAATGTCCAAAGAATCGAACGATCGATGCTGCGACGATCGCGCGCGCGCGCGCCACGGTACCAAAATGGCGTCCAGTCGCGAGACACAAAGGAAACGTGTGTGTGTGAACGTGAATTTGTCGCGAACCGATCGAAAGGTGGACAGGCTCGGGATCAGGACACAGCAACCCAAATTCCAAAAGCGGATGAATATAACTTTGCTAAGCCTTAGATTATACGTAGAACGAACGACGCAACGATCATTTGGGAAGCGGCTGGACGGGGATTGTTTCACGCGAATCCGTGGGTTCGACAGAGGATCGACAAGAGGACTATGGCTCAACAAAAAGAACTCACTGGTGTCTAATTGGCCCGGGCTATTTTTCGGGGCCGAAGGCCGGCTCGCGGACACGCGGGCGCTGTTCTCCTTCATGGTGGCCGCGTCCACGGTGTTCTGCCGTTTGAAATTGCTACCGCCGGTGCCTCCTGTCACCGTTCCCCCGGTGTTCGCAGTCGCATGATTATGGTTCGTCGCGTTCCCTGGGCTCGACGCTCCACCTGACGAGGTAAACTCGAATGCGGTATACTGAATCGACCAGCTTTCCAACAATCACCCCCAAACGGATTACGCGAGGTACTGCAACCGGACGGCACCACCTTCATCAAGCGTGGAGAACCAGCGCGTACACAGTGCATTAGCAAAGTTTCCGAAATGAAGTTTTTGTCCAGACGTACCCAGAGTGTCGTCGGCTATTGCTTTACCCGCCGGGTTAGTCGGAGCGAACTGTTACAGCTATCCCTGTATTATAATTTTTATCGACTACATATACAGGGCGTCCCAAAAATGTCCCGCGAACCGGAAATGAGAAGTTCCTGGGATCATTTGAAGTAACTTTTCCCTTAGCGAAAATGCAACCCGTGGCTTCGTTTACGAATTATTAACGAGAAACGCTGACCAATGAGAGGCGAGCTCGCCTAGCGCTTGGCGGCCGAGCCAATCGGCGCACGAAGCCCAGTTCCGCTCATTGGCTCGGCCGCCTTGCGCCAGCATATCTCACCTCTCATTGGTCAACGTTTTTCGTTGATAACTCGTAAACGAAGCCGTGGATTGCATTTTCGCCAAGGACAAACTTACTTCGAATCATCTCAAGAACCTCCCATTCTCGGATTGCGAGACATTTTTGGGACACCCTGAATATTATGTATGCGCTTAATATAATTATATGTATTGTGTACGGTCGTTGGTTCGTGGCACGGATATCCGATGTGCTTTCTTTTTCAATATCTTTTAAGCGAAATAAACATGCGCGGCCGGATCTTCTTCCTGAATCTTTTTATGCGACGTACATAGGATGGTGGGCGGTAGCGGCACGGTCTTCTCGTTTTGTCGGTGCAACCGGTTGTTAGCGGAAACCTTCGGTTACCCTCTAAATTAATTCGGTCACCATCCATGAAGTCGTTTGTCTACGTCCTCCTTTAGCTTTAGTAAGATTCTACTTTTAGGATAGAGAACGATCCACTTACGAAGCGTTTCAAGACCGGACGAAACCCGTCTACTGGGTTTTGGATTGCTAGCGGAAATACTTCTGTGAACACCTCTGTGCGACGGGCTTTGCACGGCGCCGCCCGTTCCTCCTCCGCTTCCTCCGCCTCCGCCTCCGCCCGAGCCCGCTTGAGGCGGAATGTTGCGCAGCGACAACGAGCTGCCTGACCGCGAACCGTCCGATTCCGGCTGTGAACCCAGACAAATCAATTAGTATCGCTTGGCTTCGCGCACTTCCTACCACCCCCCTCGATCATCCCTCTCCCTCTCGGTAACCTCCATTCGTTCGCCTCGAAACTCTTACTCTTGTTGCGACTCGAATTTTAAACGCTTGTTAAAAAGTGTTCGAACTTAAAAATCGAACAATTTTGGATCTCCGATGCAACCGCGGAGTACGCGAACCTAATTTCACAATGGAAACGGTAAGAGCTCCGACTCACTATGATCGGAGGTGATAAACCGTGACTCTCTGGTCTCGAGTGGTCCCAAGTGGTCCCAAGCGGTCCCAGGTGGCCCCAAGTCGGCGCCAAAATGGAAACCAACTCGAGGCCACTGTAGCTGTGTCTCGTAGTCTCTAAGGACTCGGAACTCTTACTCTTGTTGCAACTCAAATTTTAAACGTTCGTTGAAAGCGTTCGAACTTAAAAATCGAATATTTTTGGATCTCCGATGCAACCGCGGAGTAAGCGTATCTAATTTCACGATGGAAACGGTAAGAGCTCCGATTCGCTATGATCGGAGGTGTTCAACCGTGACCCTCTGGTCTCGAGCGGTCCCAAGTGGTCCCAAGCGGTCCCAAGCGGTCCCAAGCGGTCCCAAGTCGGCGTCAAAATGGAAACCAACTCGAGGCCACTGTAGCTGTGTCTCGTAGTCTCTAAGGACTCGGAACTCTTACTCTTGTTGCAACTCAAATTTTAAACGTTCGTTAAAAGCGTTCGAACTTAAAAATCGAACAGTTTTGGATCTCCGATTTAACCGCGGAGTACGCGGACCTAATTTCACGATGGAAACGGTAGGAACTCTGATTCGATATGATTGGAGGTGATAAACCGTGACTCCCAAGTCCCAAGTGGTCCCAAGTGGTCCCAGGTGGCCCCAAGTCGGCGCCAAAATGGAAACCAACTCGAGGCCACTGTAGCTGTGTCTCGTAGTCTCTAAGGACTCGGAACTCTTACTCTTGTTGCAACTCAAATTTTAAACATTCGTTGAAAGCCTTCGAACTTAAAAATTGAACAATTTTGGATCTCCGTTGCAACCGCGGAGTACGCGAACCTAATTTCACGATAGAAATAGTAAGAGCTCCGATTCGCTATGATCGGAGGTGATAAACCGTGACCCCCAGGTCTTGAGCGGTCCCAAGTGGTCCCAAGTGGTCCCAAGAGATCCCAGGTGGCCCCAAGTCGGCGCCACGTGGTCTCTAAGGGCTATCGGGTGGACATCTCTGGCTCAGGTGATACTCACATCGGTGGTCTTTCTTCCTAAGAGTAAGTACGTGGCGAACGCGTCATCGTACTTGGCCTGTTCCAGCGAGTCTTCTATCTGGTTTCTCGTGTATCCCATGCTAGCCAGGGCCTCTAAAACAAACAGGCGTAGCGGCATAGTCACAACCACTAAGAACGTCGGCGTGACGCGTCATGCGACTACGTCAACACGAACCCATGCGCTCGGCTACCTCATCTACTTTAGAGCAGGACCGTGACGAACGAAGAGAGATCTCGATTTGAACAAAGAGGACTCTCTCTCTCTCTCTCTCTCTCTCTCTTTCTTCCATTCTATTCTATCCGATCGAATTTGAAAGTTATCCCTTGCTGTCGAATATCATTACCAACAAGTTTCAACAAGTCTCGCTTGGATTTTGACAAGATTGCTTCGAACGATTAAATCGTGAACGACGGTCGCTCCTCGTTTCTCCGATTCGACAAATATGCTGTGTCGCGGCATCGCCGCGATATGCCGCTCGTAAAATGACAGGCAAGTGTTGGGCGGTATCGCGGCGGTGTCGCGTTTACAGGGCATGTAAACGGCGAGAACGCCGGCGGCGAACGGAAAGTATTTCTGTCGCAGGTGCGAACGTCGAAGCGATGATTTGTACCTTGGTATCCGATCGTTGCGCTGGGAAAAATGATTAATAGGATGAATGAGGTGGGCGGGGGAGGCATTCGTTTCGACAAAATGCGTGAGAAATCGGAGAGCGAGGAGGGACCAAGATATTCGAACCAAGAACGATATTCGAACAGCAGAAAATATTTGGTGCTGCGAACGGAAACTTTGGAACAATAAGATCGGGCTCGAACTAGTTCAAACTTCGGAGCGGAGAGCACCGAAGTTCGTCCGCGGCCGGAGGGCGCGGCATAATGGGGAGCCCATTAGCGTGTGTCCTGCCCGGAGGCGTGAAAACGGTTCGCCACGGCCCCGAAGACAAGGGATCGGTACACAAAGGTATACACAGTAAACTAAAGGTTACTCAAGATTATAGAAGCCTTGGTGGTATATATTGCCGTGCAGAGAAAAAAAAACACCTACTCGGAGACACCTTCTGGGTTAAATACGATTTACCGTTGGCTTTGGGTTAATCCCGTCGGTAGCGATATAGGTGTCACCGAAGAAGACTACCCGGTATTTAACAGGAGACACACCCGTTTTCCCCCATTTCGTTGCACCACGACTATATAGCTCGCCATTCGCGCGAGCAATCGCTTTTTCGATTTACGACCACCTCTCGTTGACGATTCGGTGGCACTACCAGCGAATAGCGATGCGGCGGGTGGTCGCAAACGATGCAACGGTACATTTATACATATGTAAAAACAATAAGTAGTAAGTGTTATGTACATACTGGCAGACTCACCTATCCTCTTGTGGTCTTTATAATCGGGCTCGGGCTCTAAGTACGGTTTCAGCTCGTCGTCGTCGTATCCCATGTTCATCCATTTGTCTTTCATTATAGTCTGGAGGGAGGGGGGCGAGAGACGGGGAGAAAAGAGAAAGGCCGCGATTAAAAGCACCGGCGTGAATCACGATGGTGGAACGCGTTCTACAGGGCGTCGCAAATGCGATGGTCACAAGCTCCAGCGGCTCAAGTTTCACGATCGAACCGGTGGACGATTTCCGTGAAAAATTTAACCCATTCACTGCCAACTGCGAGATATCTCGTGGTAAGCGTCTGTACCGAAACTGCCAGCTACGACGTATCTCGTAGTGGGTGCTGCAAGTTTAGATTGGCTACAAATGGCTATTCGAGTTAGGAACTATTAGAAAGGATGAATGAAAAATGTATATAGCGTAGAGAACGTATTGATTATCAATAAAAAAAATACTGTAAATGCCGTTGCAATATTGTATCGGTAACTTAATATTATTATATTTTGTAAAACTCCATGTTTTCTTTCAAATAAAACCGTGGCACCATATTGATGGCAACATATTGATTATAAAAAAAAAATACTGTAAATGCCATTGCAATATTATATCGGTAACTTAATATTATTATATTTTGTAAAACTTCATGTTTTCTTTAAAATAAAACCGTGGCATCATATTGATGGTAACATATTGATTATAAAAAAAAATACTGTAAATGCCATTGCAATATTATATCGGTAACTTAATATTATTATATTTTGTAAAACTTCATGTTTTCTTTAAAATAAAACCGTGGCACCCAGGGCAAGACGCGCTAAATTTGCGTGGCAGTCAATGGGTTAACCGAGCGAGTGGACAAGCAAAATGGTGTTTTGGAAGATATCGAACCGGTCCCGCGACAAACGCTTCGTTATCAACGCAACGAGCTATTGTTTCAAAGACGATTTCAATCTTAACCCTTTGCACTCGAAGCCATTTTAACTGTGAATTTGAATTAACTTTTCTGACTTATAGCATTTCCATTTTATACGACAAAGTCTATTTTATGCATATGAAATTGAGTCTTGCGACTCATACAACAGTTAGACCCTTAACAATTTTGTATATCTAACCTTTGATCATGTAAAACTTATCTTGAAACGTGGTGTAACGATTTCAGTGGTGCGTCAGGTTCACCGCTCGAGTGCAAAGGGTTGAAACCAACGTTTGTACCACGAAAATGATTTATTCGCGGCGACTCTTTTTCAAGCTGTCGGATACAGAGGAAAACGTTGAGATTCGTTCGCATTGGTCGGAGCAAGATCGTTCGTTCGTCGATCGCCGATGTTTGAAGAGCAGTGACTATCGCGTTTGTTGGACGCTGTAGAAGCGAGCATCACGTCAGTCACGTACCTCTAAGGAGGCCCGTTTCGTCGGGTTGAGCACCAGAAACTTTTTCAGCAGATTCTCGCAGTCGGTCGACATGTAGAACGGGATTCTATATTTTCCTCTCAGCACTCTTTCTCTCAGTTCCCTTAACGTCGAGCCGTCGAAGGGTAACGAGCCAGACACCAGAGTGTACAGTATCACGCCCAACGACCACACGTCCACCTCTGGTCCGTCGTATTTTCTACCTATTAACATAAGCAAACGGAAAATGAACGCACCGAAAGCGCGAAGGTGGCGGAGTAGCCTTAAAGTAAATAAACATTTAACTTATTCCATACAGGAGAAACACTGAGCGGCAAAGTGAGACAAGAATAAAACGAGATCGTTCGCGTGTCAACTATACTAGTACTAGTACTGTGGTTCCAGTATGGTAATAGACCGCGGATTTTATGCATTCTCATGGCATGAAGCTGAAGTTATAAAATCGTGAAGATAGAAGAAGAATTTTATAACGTTGTTACATTATTTGCGACTCGTCGAAATAATTCAAAAGGAACAATTTATTTTGATTTAATATCCGAGAGAGATATCTTGATTTAGAATCGCCTTGGAACATTTCTATTTTGCATAAAGATCCACAGTCTATAATAATACTAGATAATAATAATACTAAGTAATAATGATACTAGATAATAATAATACTAGATAATAATAATACTAGTAATAATACTAGATACTATACAGACGTACTAATTTTTGTGTAACGCTAAACCTATCATAGTGATCGAAATGCCCGGTTCCACATTTTGTTATTCAAACATTTTCGGTATCGCAGGAACTGATCGAATAAATTTCTTAATTCAAGCATTCATGTTATAAAAGAAACTGGTAAGATGTCTAAATAAATTCAGTCCTGTAATTCTCACAAAACAACGCATGTCAGACGTCTTTGGTGCTCAGTAGTAGGTTTTTAACCCTTAGGGGACCAAAACTATTTACTTCCAGTTTACACACTGCCAAGTCCAGACTGTTTCTCAGACGAAGAGAAATTTTTTACTGAAAATTTTTGCATCGAATATAGAGAAGAGATATTCATCTTTTAAAATAAAACTTCGTTGATATAATTTCATCGAAACAATCTTTCAATGTTTCCTGCCAGATTTTACGGTTTTATTTGATTTCTGCCGCGTGTATGACGGCATTGGACCGTTAAGGGTTAATATTAAAGTTACTAAACGATGAATCAGAGGCCACCGTACCCTGAAAGAGCTCGGGCGCCGCGTAGGGCGGTGATCCGCAGAAGGTGTCCAGCTTGTTGCCGGGCGTGAACTCGTTGCTGAAGCCGAAGTCGGCGATCTTGATGTTCATCTCGCTGTCGAGCAACAGATTCTCGGCCTTCAAGTCCCTGTGGATGATCTTCTTTTGATGGCAGTATTGCACGGCAGAGACGATCTGCCTGAACTTCGCTCTGGCCTCCTTCTCCTTCATCCGACCGTGCAGGACCAAGTAGTCGAAGACCTCGCCCCCGCTGGCGTACTCCATCACCAGATAGAGCGTCTTCTCGGTCTCGATCACTTGGAAAAGCTTCACGATGTTCGGATGGTCGAGCATCTTCATTATCCTCACCTCCCGGAATAACTGCGAAACGAAAACATTTACGTCTCAGAGAGCCGGCTTTGGCTAACTTTACGCCGTTGACGGAAAGATTGCTTCCCGGAGGGTGGGGACCGTGCGTAATTGTACGATTCGGAGCTGGTTGCTTTCAACGTCTCTCTCGCCGAGCACTTCCGAGTAGGATCTAGACCCAGCCTAGACACAGACCAGACCAGGTTCGCACTCTTTGCAAGCACTCGGAGAAGTGTAAGCGACATCTTCAAGTGCGATCGATCCTTCGCCGAGTGGATGCAAACGTACCACGAGCACCTACGCCAGGATGTTTCTGCTCTGTAGGTCGCTACTCTTTAGCATCTCTAGCCTTACTCGCACTGTACTCTTTAGCCTAACTTTCTAATTAACGAGCTTAGTAGTCGAGCTTTTAAACTCGACGACACCATCGCTCGCGACGAAGGTTCGGTGATTTTCTGTTTCTAGATTTGCTTACGATTTGTCTGTCGAAGGAGTAAAATAACACGATTCATAGGAACTTCTGCTGCAACTATGCGAGGGTCCAGGCTCTAATTAACGAGCTTAGTAGTCGAGCTTTTAAACTCGACGACACACTATCGCTCGCAACGAAGGTTTGGTGATCTTCTGTTTCCAGATTTGCTTACGATTTGTCTATCGAAGGAGTAAAATAACACGAGACATAGGAGCGTCTGCTGCAGCGATGCGAGGGTCCAGGCTCTAATTAACGAGCTTAGTAGTCGAGCTTTTAAACTCGACGACACACTATCGCTCGCAACGAAGGTTTGGTGATCTTCTGTTTCCAGATTTGCTTACGATTTGTCTATCGAAGGAGTAAAATAACACGAGACATAGGAGCGTCTGCTGCAGCGATGCGAGGGTCCAGGCTCTAATTAACGAGCTTAGTAGTCGAGCTTTTAAACTCGACGACACACTATCGCTCGCAACGAAGGTTTGGTGATCTTCTGTTTCCAGATTTGCTTACGATTTGTCTATCGAAGGAGTAAAATAACACGAGACATAGGAGCGTCTGCTGCAGCGATGCGAGGGTCCAGGCTCTAATTAACGAGCTTAGTAGTCGAGCTTTTAAACTCGACGACACACTATCGCTCGCAACGAAGGTTTGGTGATCTTCTGTTTCCAGATTTGCTTACGATTTGTCTATCGAAGGAGTAAAATAACACGAGACATAGGAGCGTCTGCTGCAGCGATGCGAGGGTCCAGGCTCTAATTAACGAGCTTAGTAGTCGAGCTTTTAAACTCGACGACACACTATCGCTCGCAACGAAGGTTTGGTGATCTTCTGTTTCCAGATTTGCTTACGATTTGTCTATCGAAGGAGTAAAATAACACGATTCATAGGAACTTCTGCTGCAACTATGCGAGGGTCCAGGTTAATTCGTAGTCGATCGCTTACCTTCTGAAGGCTGTTCGGGTTCAGTTGAGTCTTGTCGATGATCTTGATGGCCACTTCCTTCCCGGTGGGCACGTGCTTGGCAAGTTTTACCTTGGCGAAGTTGCCCTTGCCGATGGTCTTGAGTAATTTGTACTTGCCGATGTGGGGTTCCTCCGAAGTCCGACTCCTCGACGAGAGCCGACTCGACACTCCCACGCCATCCCCTGTCTGCAACGAACATCAAACAGAGAGAACCGTTAAAGACCGTTCCCTGTGCACGCGAATCGCAGTGTCAAACGGGAAAACTTTTCCGCGCGGTCCTCGTTGCGGCAACGTTCGCTCTTTGCCGATGGATTTCTGTTCTACGATAGTTTCGAACTTGCACGGGAACCTATCCTAACTGCGCAACTTAATTTTGATGAAACGCATGCGATAGACAGTTCTTGGATTCGTGTAACGCGTACTTCTTTCGAACTTACGGATCGACGACACATTTTTTATAAATATTTCCATTTACCAGGAATCATAAGAAACAATTAAATTTTATATGAATTGACTTCGGGAGAACTCAACGGAGCTTTTTAATCGCACAAGATATACTTTAACCCCTTAACTTGTACGCTCGAGTTAATTCGAGCGCGCTAAACAGGCCAAACTGTGCACACTCGAGATAATTCGAGCGACGTTGTATTTTATGCTGCTGTAATTTTTCACACTCGAATATAATCGAGAATTGAAAATAACAATGTGAAAGCAATATTGATATTTATCATTTACGTGGGATTGTAAGCTATAACACTTATTTCTTCAAGAAACATGTTCTTTTCCGAAATAGCAATTCGAAAAGAAAGATAAAAAAGTCGACGTACGTGTAACATTGCAATATTCGGCTCTTTTCTGTAATGTGGATCAAAATCCAAAATTGAAATTAAAATTTTGATTATTTTTGGATTTTTTTAAAATCTCTTTTTGCCAAGACAATGTTCTAAATTGTGTCTTTTTACATAAAAAGAATTGATATTTTTGGCCGGTTTAAAAAAAAAACTGTGCGTTAAGGGGTTAAGAACGAGTCATCCGTTTCACCGATATAAATTCAGTGAAACGTTTACGCGACTCTTCTCGCAATATCTCTTTCGAAGTTTTGCGATTTAAGAACACTATCCCGGCTTCGTCCGTTTAATTTCATACTTTCGCGATACTCGAAACTGTTATCTCGTCCCAAGAATGCTCCCGTTCTTTTCGGCGCGGCGAAAAGATGGCGTCCGCTTTCGCAGTCTTCTCGATTCGATGCTCGGAAGCGCTGCAATATCGCCGTTTCGACGCGGACAACGAGCAACGAACTGAACCCGTCAATATTTTTCTAAGAACTATCGCCTGCATAGATTTCATCAATATCTGTTAACGACGTTCAACTTTGAACTTCGAGCCACGTTCGTCTGTGACGTTCGCGGAAGGAAACCTTTCGCGACGGTTCTACGTCGGATTCGGGAATTCCGCGACACGTGACGGCCGTGTTTACTCGCGGATCGCGGTTCGCGTTTCCAGGGACAAACAGGCGATCCTCAATGGAATTAATTGAGCCTCGTTAAAGCTGCACGCCGCCAGATACGGATCGTTCCGAAGGAAGCGCGACACCGCGAGCCGTGACGCGCGTGGACCAACACGTTTTGCGGCGACGACGACGCGACGCGGCGGTCCGATTTCGTTTCGCGAAACACAGTGCGGCTCGTCGACGCGGTCTTAACTTTCAACGAGAGTCGGTCTACTTTTTGCTCGGCAGAATATATTTTCGCAGCTCGGTTCCTTTCGCCGTGGCTTTTTCCAGGCGTCGGCGCCGCGTCGCGTCGCGTCGGGTCACCGGGAAAGCAACTTCGGTTTCGCGGTTGCATAAATCAATTCGCCGCCGCGTTATTGGTTTCAATCAATTACGTAACGACTTAGTCCTAGTCTTTAGTAGTACCGGCTCCGAGTCTAACTGCACCGATTCTTTTAGAATTTCACCGCTTTGTCTTACGCAACCGAACGATTTTAATGAATAAATGGATCCGGATGCTTTGCTTTTGCGAGCTCGTTTAACTCTTAGCCCCCTGTACGAGGATCCGTGGAAAACGCCGGGCCGAACAACGTCGAAGCTATCGCGTCGCGAAATTTACAGTCGAGCGATTGAAATTATTTTCAAACGATCGCGTAACTTGGCCCGCTTTTCAAAACGAAGAACGTTGGACGCGGGCGATCGAGATTGCTGTTCGGTCTAGAATCGGCACGAATCTTGATCTTAGAATCTTAATCTTAACGATTAAGAAATACGATCGTTGAGTAAATAAAATTCTTCGTTGAAGAATATCCAGTTTCTTTCGGGAACTCAACGGAAGGACGCGAAACGCGACGAAACCGAAAGATGAAAGGAAAACGCGCAGTGTGATATATTCGACGATCCAGCGTTCCAAAACGAGTCAAATTGCGTCGGATAATCGACAGAAGTGTTATCCTTTCCAAAGTCCATCCCAACATCTTTCATGTTCTGTCGAAGCGACGACGAAGTTAAGAAATACCGATCACTGTCGAAACTAGACTGCGGATCTTTGTGCGAAATAAAATTATTCCCAAGACGATTAAATCGCATATATATTATTATTCAAATATATATTAAGAATATATTATTAAATTCTTCTTACGTCTTCGCGATATTATATTTTAACTCAGTCAATTCTGTTACCAACGCGTGAAATCCGCAGTCCAGTCAAAACCAACACGAGCGATCTTATCAACGCGACAACTTCGTCCGCTGGACCGCTTCGCACTCGATCATGATAAATCCGATCCGACAACACGAGAATCGATCCAACGAAAATTCCTGACCGGTAAAACTCGAAGCGTTGACTTGTTGCATCCGCGAATCGTCGCTAACGATCTGCGACGACCCAACGATCTAAAAGAGAAAGAAAGGTCTCGCAGCGCAACGCATGCTAAACGCTATCGCGCCTTGTAGAAAGAGACAACGGGATGATGTTACCCGCGCGTGGCCACGAGTGACCATCTTGCAAGAGGTGGCAGCAGCAACTTTCGAGGCCGCCAGCTTGGCTGATTCGTCGATCGATCTCTGTCGATGTCCCGAAAGATAGACGGACGATCGCGTGGCCGGAAGCGAGCGTCGTCGAGACGACGTTGGGCCGAGCGACGAGCAGCAACGACACCAGCTCGCGCATGAAACGACGAACAAACTCGGCTCGTTTTTTCCCCTCTTACACCGCGCACTCCTCCAGTTTCGTGCGAACGCGGTCGACAGTCTCGAGTTCAAACGGACAAGCTCCGAGGTTCTGCGCCAGCGAATCGGCCCCGATCCCGCTCCCGTCTTTCGTCCTGGCTGGCCATTTTTGTTCTCGCGACGCGCTGCCGCGTGTCCCGCTGCGTCCCGACATATCTCTATCCGATCGCAGCTAACAATCCTAATAAGTTATCCTATGTAATCTACAAACACGCCGCGGAGCACGCTAATTAGAGCACGATAGGAGAGAATCGTGTCGGCTCGGCGAACGAGTCGATTTGGTCCTTCGCTGGAGACGGCCGGTCATCGTCCTTGGCTGCGAGCGATCAGGTACAGGGTTCCGTTTGGTCGAGAAGGGAGGTAACACGCTTCGGTTTAGCTTAGCGCGAGTCGAGGTTTTCGAGGTTTTTTACACCGCGCGACGGTTTCCGAGCGAACAGTTTTCTTTCGGGGGCTGGTTATTGGGAACCAGCGCGCCGCTAACTATTTACATGCTCGCGCGAACGAGGCCTGTTCACTGGGCACTGTCGAACAACGGTATCCTTGACACGGAGCACACCAGCGAGAACATCGATCGGCGGTGGTGGTCTGGCGACGAACTTTCACCGAATTTGCGTCCACGGGAGCACCGAAAGGGGTTCACCGAAACCAGGATGAGCAGAGGATCGATCCGGCTGTTCGACGAACGCGACACACCGATGCCCACGGCGAATGTCTCGCCTCCGGCTTCGGCTTCTCGGCTCTAGCTCCGGCGTCGCGGCGCCGACAGCGTCGACCTGGCCCGTTAAATGCTAGGACCTCCACGACGGCTGGCGGACGGCGGCTCGAGGAGCTCGGAGGGATCGATCGACGATTGAAACCGTGGCTTCGGAGGCGCGCCGTAGGTGTATCCGACGTCACTGATCGCGGCCGGCGTTGGTCCTGACGAGGCCCGAACGGAGCAGCGCCGCATCCTCGCGACGATAGAGAGACGCGGGGCACCTCGGCGAGAGGCGGCTGGCCGTCGTCGAAGTTGCCCGTCCGACGACGACCGTCGTCGTGTCCTCGGCGAGCCGCGAGTCACCCAGCAGAACAGTCCACCAGCCGAGGGATGCTTTCCGCGGAATCAATACGCGACCCCACCACCCCCTGACGCTGGAAACGTGGCAGCGAACCACCCTTGAAAGCCTGGCTTCCCGTGCAACCCTCCCTGCTTCTGCTTCTGCCTCTGCCTCTGCCAGCTTGCCAGCCTGCTTTCGCCAGCCCGCTTCGCCAGCCTTGCCTGCCTGGCTGCTTGTCCGCTCGCCTACTTGCCTACCACCTTTCTCGCGAGTTGCCCCGACGACCACCAAGACCGATTTTGCCACGCATGCGCCCGTTGACGGAGCCGCGATAGGGGGTTCGTAAGGGTTGGTCGACTATGCTACCGTCACGCCGCGCATCGTCACCAGTTTTTCGGTCTACTCTTCTCTCTCCCTCTCGCTCTCCCTCTCTCTATCTCCCTCGCTCTCCCTCTCTCTCTCTCTCTCTCTCTCTCTCTCTCTCTATCTCCCTCGCCCTTCCTCTCTCTCTCACTCTCTTATCTCCCTCGCTCTCCCTCTCTCTCTCTCTCTCTATCTCCCTCGCTCTCCCTCTCTCTCTCTATCTCCCTCGCTCTCCCTCTCGCTCTCCCTCTCTCTCTCGCTCTCCCTCTCTATCTCTCTCGCTCTCTCTCTCAAACACACGCTCTTTCACTCTATTTTACCCTGCCAGCCATTCCTCCACTCGCTCGAGGAGGGATGTGCTTGCTCGCACCCTTGTGTGCCCGATCGAAATCGAATTCTAGCTCGGTCAGCTGATCGCCGAATCGCCGATATTCGACGCCCCGGAGGCTCGTCGGCAGGAATGGCATCGAGGGCAGGAATTTTTGGAAAATTGCTGCTAGGCCGGGTGTTGTGAATACTGCTTCGAAGATACGACGGAAGTTATTCGTTGCGCGGAAAAGCGCTTCGGAGTTCGGCTTGCGAAAAGTTGCGTGGTTATCTAGGGCGCGTTGCTGGAATCGATTTTTGTTGAAAGACGCCGTCGATTTTCTTAACCCCTTGCCGCAAACTTCGACGAAGATTTGTAGCAATAGCATGTCGACTCGATCGCGTTGATCCGTTCTTTTAAGTCGGAATAAAATTCCGTTCCCTCGCCGGCAATATTTAATCGTTCGAGTAAATGTCGGAACGCGATAAATATAAATTATCTTTTGGTTCTAAGAAACGATTACAATCGAAAAAGTTCTAATCATCGTAACCGTGGAGATAATGGTGCGGCAAGGGGTTAAGGTTGTATACCGGTCTACCACCGCTTCGGAAAACATCGGCTTCTTTTTTATTCTATTTTTATTCGTTTTCATTCCTGCGATTATTGTTCGTTAAAATATGTCTGCGATTGGATTTTCGTTCGATTCGTGAAAATAACGAAGTCACGAATGTTTGGAATACGTGGGCTAGTGGAGCCGATTACTGTGGCTTTCGGTATCGTTTTCGGGATTGATTAACTTTATATTTGGTGAATAAGATATATCATATTTGTTTATTCAAACGTATACGAGATAAAAGAATGCAAACATCGAATATGTCTTATTCGATAAATATATAACGTTGATTGAAAAATAAAGAAAATAAAAGAATACAAAAATTCGATGTGTCTTATTCCGATGAATATAAAGTTAATTCAAAAATAGAGAAAATAAAAGAACACAAAGATTCGATATGTCTTATTCGATAAATACGAAGTTAATTGTACCCAAAAACGAACCAAAGGCACAGCAATTGGTCACTCCACAGAAACCGTATACTACGCACTGTACATACTTCAAAAGCAAGAAAAGAAAGTCAAAAATCAAATTTTGATACCGACGATAGTTACGCAAGTACATTCGAACACATCTTATCTTCTCATTTTCGATCGGCGAAGCGGTTAAAATCATATCAGCCGGAAAGAGGCTGTTTTGTAAAAATACTGCGCTCAAAGAACTGCAACTACAAGAACTCTAAATATTTTGGCTTCGACGAAATATATGTGCGATAATTAAATCCCATCGATCTGTTTGTTGTTCTTCTCTTAAATGAAGCCTCTTGTGTAGACCATGCAACATCTCGATGAAAGACTGATCGGTAAAGTAGAACCTCTTTTATCCGAATTCAAAATCGATAGTTAATTTCTTGTTATTTCCGATTAATTATTCATGCAATTGTATAAGATGATAGGTCGAGGTTTAATCGAGATCCTCCTACAGTTTCATCGTTATCGCTTGGAATGATCGAAGATCTAAATAATAAAGATCGAGGAAAATCCAGTTCGGTTGATCGACGTTCCACTGTACGACAAAACAGGTTGCTTGTTAATCGAAAACGTCGTCGCTTTCGAGATATAAGGCCCGATGCACGGCGACGCCAGTCGACCGACTAGAAACCGAGAATCTAGGAATGCGTAAACGCGTGATCAAAGGGTCTCCTACCGGGATCTAGTTACCTACGCCTACCAGAGATACCCCTTCTCTCCACAGAGAATATACAGGGTGCCCTAAAATTATTGTGCAAGCGAGAAACGAGAGATTCCCGAGGTCATTCGAAGTAACTTTCCCCTTAGCGAAAATGCAATCCGCCGCTTCGTTTACGAGTTATAAACGAATAACAGCGACCAATGAGAGATTAGCAGCGCGGCCGAGCCAACGAGCGGTCGAAGCCGTCTCGACCGCCGGCGCCGTTGGCTCGGCCGCCTCGCCCCAGCTGAGCTCGGACTCGACCGCTGGCGCCGTTGGCTCGGCCACCTCGCGGCACCTGAGCTCGCCTCTCATTGGTCACTGTTTTTCGTTAATAACTCGTTAACGGTGCCTCGGAGAAAATTTTTGTAAAGGAAGAAGTCGCTTCAAATGACCCGAGGAACCTCTCATTTCCAGCCGGTACAATAATTTTAAGGCACCCCGTAGAAACAGATCGGGTGCCCGAAACGGATCGCGGAGGAGGCGGCGTCCCGCGATCGTTACAGAGACACGCGCTCGCACGCGAAGCTCACGGGAACGCGTCAACGACGCACTCGACTATCCCCGGGGAGGGTGGAAGCGCATCGTTTCACGGTTTCGAAGTTCAGGCGAGCACCGACCTCGGGAAAGACAAAGGACATCGCGCGATACTCGAGCCCGGTCCCCCGGCTCTGCCCGTAGAGCCGGGGAGGAGAATCGATCTCCTTTCGCTCTCCTCCTGCGTCGCCTCTTTCTTCCATCGAGGACTAAATTCTCGCTCGAAAAATAACGCGAGGATGTAGCTAATCCGACGTGCAATATCTACCTCCTTCTCGTTTAGACCGGCCTTCCGCGTGATGTCTGAGATCGGCTTTGCCTGGCAGACAGAATTGTTTAGCTGCTGCTGCAGCTGCTGTTGTTGCTGTTGTTGTTGCTGTTGTTGTTGTTGTTGCTGCTGCTGCTGCTGACGGTGATCCTTCTTGGTGATCGGGCCAGCTCGCGCATGGTGGGTCCTGTTGTGAGCCCGCAAGGACATCTCCGCTTCCTGTCCGCGGCGGTTGTCAGAGGCGGTTCTAGACAGTTTCGCGGTGGCCTTCTTCGCCGTGATCCCCGCGTTTCCGGTCGAGTTCCTCGTCGCTTCGCCTCGTTGCAACGGCGTCGCCCTTTTCGGTGGAAGTTACCGTCAACATCTCTGTTCTACCTTCGTTCTCGCCTCGCTACTTCTCGTGAACGGTTTGCTCGTGACGATTGCGAAAAGTCAAGGGAACTCTACGACGACGTTTCTACACTGGCAAAAATCCCGAGGAGGCGTACGAACGGAAGCTCGGTGGGACCGAGAAAGGGGATGCTTTAAATTCTTGAATCGGTAATTTGCAATTTTTGTTTAACAACGAGGTGTCTTTGCGAAACTAGGCAGACTTGTCGGTCAGCGCTTCGAAGTTGCGTCCTTGAATTTCTCTGACTCGATATAATCGTGGTTTTACAGTCGCTTTTTAGAGAACTGGACTATGTATCGAGAACATCACCTTCGACTGGTGGCTATCGAAATAACATTGAACCTATCAAACTCTACGGGTAATTAATCTGTATCGTTTTATAACGACGAAAAGACCGTCTACTTGGATCTTTCGTTGTTTTTATCGGAACGTCTGATTTTATTAAGAAATTTCTGCGATGGTTTTCTATGAAAGAGTCTTTATTGTTTCAGCAATATTAACCCTTTGCACTCGAAGCTCTATTTCAACGGTAGATCTAAAATAATTTTTCTGACCTATAATATTTTCATTTTATACGACGAAATGTGTTTTATGCGTACGGAGTTGAGTTTTACGACTCACAGAACAGTTACATTTTCAAGAATTTTTTAAATCTAAGCTTTGTTAATATAAAAATTACCTCAGAGTCACCGTCCGAGTGCAAAGGGTTAAAATAAAATGTGCAAAACCGGTCATTTTGACCGGCTCGGCAGGTTCAGCGTTGATATCGCTGTCGGCAGCGCGACGTCGAATTGACGTCAAATTGACTCTGTATCAATAACGGTGACTCGATGTTACCTAGACTCTTGTCACCGACGGTGGCTTGATATCGAATTGACTCCGTAACGATAATAGTGACGCAATGTTTAATAAGCTCTTTGTCAGTGGCGATGACTTGAATTAAAATTGACTCCGTACCAATAATGGTGACTCGATGTTAAATAGACTATTTGTCATCGACGATGACGACTTCGAATTGACTCCGTGCGAATAATGGTAGCTTGATGTCAAATTAACTTCGTATCAATAATAGTGACTCGATGTTAAATAGACTATTTGTCATCGACGGTGACTTGACTTCGAATTGACTCCGTGTCAATAATGGTGGCTTGATGTCAAATTAATTTTGTATCAACAATAGAGACTCGATGTTACATAGACTCTTGTCACCGACGGTGGCTTGATATCAAATTGACTCCGTATCTATAATAGTGACGCAATGTTTAATAAGCTCTTTGTCAGTGGCGATGACTTGAATTAAAATTGACTCCGTACCAATAATGGTGACTCGATGTTAAATAGACTATTTGTCATCGACGATGACGACTTCGAATTGACTCCGTGCGAATAATGGTAGCTTGATGTCAAATTAACTTCGTATCAATAATAGTGACTCGATGTTAAATAGACTATTTGTCATCGACGGTGACTTGACTTCGAATTGACTCCGTGTCAATAATGGTGGCTTGATGTCAAATTAATTTTGTATCAACAATAGAGACTCGATGTTACATAGACTCTTGTCACCGACGGTGGCTTGATATCAAATTGACTCCGTATCTATAATAGTGACGCAATGTTTAATAAGCTCTTTGTCAGTGGCGATGACTTGAATTAAAATTGACTCCGTAGCGATAATGGTGACTCGATGCTAAATAGACTCTTTGTCACCGACGGTGACTTGACTTCGAATTGACTCTGTGTCAATAATGGTGACTCGATGTTAAATAGACTCTTTGTCACCGACGGTGACTCGAATTCAAATTGACTCCATGTCAATAATGGTGGCTTGATGTCAAATTAATTTTGTATCAATAATAGAGACTCGATGTTAAATACTCTTTGTCACTGAGGGTGATTTGATGTGAAATTGGCTCCGTCTCAATAATGGAGACTCGATGTAAGACTATTTGTCACCGACGGTGACTTGACTTCAAATTGACTCCGTGTCAATAATGGTGACTCGATAAACTTCCTATCAATAATGACGATTAGATGTTAAATAGACTTGCTATCAGTGATGGTGACTTGACAACGAATTGTCTCCATATCAATAGCACTCCCCATATCGATACGGAGTCAACTTGACGTCGAGTCGCCATTAATTGAATACGAAGTCCGTTCAACTTCGAGTCACCATGAACTGTTACAGAATCAATTTGACTTCAAGTCACCATGAATTGTTACGGAGTCAATTTAACTTAACGTCACCGCTAGCGTTAGGAGTCCATTTGACGTATGTCACCATTGCTATTTGCAGCCACTTTGACGTCCGTCGCCACTCCACGGTTAAATAACGAAAAATGAACGGTACATTTCGTTACGCGCACGATCGAATAATATGCTACAGAATAAGAAATACGATTCCGAAGTCGTCGATACGTTGTCGATCGTTCTCAAAGTTAAGAATATCTGCCCACGGATTACACACTCGAGTCAGAATGGCCAACTATCACAGCTATCGATGCGCGTACCTCTTCTCCACTCGTTTGCTACGTCAACGTACAAAATTGCTTCGAATTATGCTACAGTAACATTAAGCATTTCGTCGGAGTCATCATCCAAATGCAAACGGTTAGACACTGTGCGCGTAGAGAAAGTCTGCGGAGTTCTGCAAAGATTGGTTAGATGATTCGTAAAAACAGAAGATAAGCAGGAAAGGGACGTTCTCTACGAAAAAAAGAAAAAAAAACAAAGAAAAAGAAAGAAAAAAGGTCCGGAAAAGAAAGAATCGGAAGGCCGTTCTCCGACAGGACGGTCCGTGAACGCGGACGAATGGAAATTTACCCCTCGGCCTCGTCGTCGGTCACGTTACGAAGCAGATCCTCGTGTTCCCTGTAACGCAGCTGAACTTCCGGTTCGAGGTCCGAGCTGTCGACCAGCTGACGCGCTCTGGCCGCCAGCGTGTCCTTCTCGATGGCCTTGACCTGCCGCTCCAATCTCTGAAGCATTTCTGTGCAGTCCTCGACCGCCGAGTTATCCTTCTGTTTTTTCAGGATCGAGCCGAGGCTGACGGGCGCGTTCGCGTCGTCCTCGCCCTTGACGATCGGTTGCACGATCTTCGAGGCCTTGAACGCCATCAGCTTCTCCTCGAGCTCGGGATCCAGCTTCAAGCCAGCCGGAGCTTTCCTGGTTTCGATCCGGCCGGCTCCAACGGAAGCTCGTTTCTCGTCCACGGTCTTCGACCGAGGGCTCTGCGGGCCCTTCTTCTCGACGACCTTGAGACCTTTGTCGCCCTCGATCAGCTCCCACTGCTTCAGGTTCTCCAAAGGCGCGTGAACCGGCCTGACCCGCCCGGAAGACTTCGGGTTATCGGCGTCCTTGGTCTGATTGGGCGACCGCTGACCCTCCGGGTCAATCGTCGCCGAGCCTTTGCGGTTCTGGGGCAGCCGCAACGAGCCTCTGCCCGGCTGGTTCCTGGAGAACGGACTGTCCCGACCGTCCATCGCCTGGCCTCTGGGGACCGGGTCCTTCGAAAGGTCGGAAAGCAAGCAACGGGGGTCACCTCGGATCCTTCAGGAGGCCTGGCGATCCTTCACCATGGATTCGGCGGCGGCCTTGCGATTATCTGTCTGTCTTTCTCTCTCTATTTTTCTCTAGCTCTCTGTGTGTCTGTCTTATCTCTGTCTCTGTCGGCAAAAGCATGCGTCCTCGTTAAGGATCCTCCACTCGCCGACCTCGCCGGCCTCGCGCGATCCTCTTTGAGGGTCAAACGACTACCACTCCGAGCACATTCACATTTAACCCGTAACCCCGTGAACGGGACACGACTTCGGCGACCGATCCTCGCCGATACGACTCCCCTAGCAAGTGTAACATAGAAAGATCGATAGAAGCAGAGCAAGCACGTAACACACGTAGAATGTCAGGCACAGTCCGATACGGCGACGGGCACAGGCGAGAAGAGATAAAAAGCTTCTCGATCGCGCCACGACCGCCCCGTTACACTAAAACGGATCGATGATCCCGATGGATGACGATGAGGATGAACCGGGAAACGATCGCCGGCTGGCAACGACAACGGTGTACGCGCGGCCGGTGAACAATTTTCTGCGGGAACGCGTTCATCGCGTTCGACGAGGAAACGGAGAAACGTGCAACGATGTGGCGGCGGCGACGCGATCGCGCGCGACGAGCCGGGCGCAGAGATAAAGACGTGTGCGAGTCGCGGAGAGCGCACGCGCGCGCGAGCTTATCGAGGCGTTGGTCCCTCGAGCGGAGGATCGAGAGCCGCTCGATCGCGCTCGATCGCGCCCGACTTGCGGTTTTCACGCGGGACACGGCGGGCCTGGGCCTCTCCTCTTCGACTGCTTGGACCGCCGCGCCGCTCCGGAACCAAGCAGACCGAGACGCTTCGAGCGGATCCGCGGGTTCTGGATCGCCGAGGGCCGCGAGGGGGGGACCCGCGGGGAAAATATCGGAACGAGCCACGTCGGCCAGCAGGAAACGAACCGGGCGGGACGAGCAGCGAAAGCTCGAGCTCGAGCGCGAACGACCGGCCACGAACAACTGGGTCCATTTCCCTCGAGCCGATAAGCCCGCGACCGGCCAACTCGACTTCGTCAGCCCGCGTCGTTATCAGTTGATTCAGATAAGCGATACCGCGCGCGCGTCTACCTAACGCGGCCGGATTCCGGCGATCGCGGCGACGCGACGCTCCTGCTAACTGGCTGCCCGTGCCGTGCGCGGGCAGGGCAGAGCGCGTCTCACCCATCCCTCCGCCCCCGCGCGTCCCACCCGATGCCATTCGACCGACAAGCCTCGAGGAAATTTTCCTCGAACGAGTATCTGTAGGAACTTACACGACCAGGTACGAAATTGCGCGACATCGAACGTGAACCTACGATATTTGAATTCTTTATCGCCGAAACACCTTGCGCGGGAATCGAATACGAATCGAGGAGGACCACGGTGTCTCTGAGACTTTTACGAAATCGATTCTCTGGTCTCTCGGTGTTCATGTTCTACGATGTTAGGAGAGTATGCGGTGGAAAGAAAATGTTGAAGATTCGAAAAATTATCGAAGTTTAAGGATTTTGAGCGCGACAGGTGTCGCACGGGTTCATTTCGTCGCGTGAAATTTGAAACGCGGTTTCCTCGAGAAATATCGTTTTCCGAACTGGTTGAGTTAAGAAGTTTATTTCGATCGAAGAATATATTAGCTTGGGGAATAAGTTCGTAGCGTTTTTATATTTTCTTTTATTTTGCAACGATTGTTTGCTGTTCGACAATGTGTATAATATTCATTCGATGGAGCTGTTTCTGCTCTACAAAACTGTGCTAATCGTCTTTTCGAGTAATTTAATTTTTTATTACTTTCGAGGCTTTGAAATGGAATATCCAGAAGGTAGAAAGCAACATTTTCGACATCTTCTCTTCTTCGCTTTTCATCGAGGCGAAAAAGCTGCCGAAGCAGCCCGGGACATTTGCAACGTATACGGAGAAGGTGTCATAGGCGAGTCTACAGCACGAAAATGGTTTGCGAAGTTCAAAAATGGCGATTTCGACGTCGACGACACGCCCCGCAGCGGAAAACCTTTCGAATTCGACGAAGAGCGTCTCAAAGCACTTTTGAAGGAGGACGGTCACCGAACAAGTCGCGAATTGGCCGAAAAAATGAACTGCGATCATAAAACGATTCTCAATCATCTTCATTCAATGGGATTTGCCGAAAAATTGGGAGCCTGGGTGTCTCACGAGCTTAACGAAAACAACAAAGAAAATCGCCATCAAATTGCTTGATAAAAACGCTACGAACTTATTCCCCAACTCAATACTTTTCCGCGGACGGAGTGAAATTTATTAAATTTATTTATTTTCTTTAATTTTATTCAAGCGAATCTTTAATAGCTTCTCGCGAGTCCTTTACGAACACGCGCGCGCGCGCGCGCGGACCTTTGATGAATCTTTCATATTTATAAATAAAAATGGGTTTCTCGAGATGCACTGATTTTGACAAAATTCGAAAGCAAACTTTTGTATACTCGTTCTCTGGAACACTGGCCGATCCAATGGGATACGTTTGGACCAGTTTAAAAAAAGAAAAGTATCCCGTTCGGAAAGGTGTGAACGTACTTTCCGACGCGACTGTATGCCTACATTTTGGATAGTCGTGTAATTCCTTACGCGTACTTTGTTGATACGGACGTTTTAACCAACACGATAGATCGTCGTAAAAATGGCGGAAAATATGGCGACGAACGAAACTGTTTTAATTTTCGTTTGGTCGAAAAGCGCAATTACCGGACTGTGGATTTTATGCATTTATGGCAAATATGGATAGATCGAATACAAAATTGTGATGACATCGGACGAATTTAAGGACATTATTACACATAATTCTCAACTTCTCACGCTCGGCGAAAGAAGGAACGACATTTTTATGTAATTTACGTTCAATGAAATTAACTGGGACAGTTTTTATTTTGCATACAGATCCGCGGTCCGATAATTACGATTTACGACGACTAGAAATGGAATACGGTTGAAATGTGTACGATCGTGCGGAGCTCTTTGCAGCAGCAGCGTGTCGGTATGCGAAATGAATTCGGAAACGGTGTGAAAAATGCTTGTAAAGTGAAAATTTCAGTTAATATGCGAAAGTTAACAGTTTCATTCGAGCCGTGATTCCGATGAAACCGTGGTGGATGCGTGCGCTGCGGGAATTATTCGTGGGAAGATTTCAAATAGAAAATCGCGTTATGTGCTTGTTAACACTGGAACTACCAGACAAAATGACCCATTTCGAATCTTTTCGCTTGCGCAATCGCTGAAATTGCGAAACACCGATCAATTTGTTCGCGCGACGCACGCGTTCCCGTCGATTTTACGACATCGCGACGCCAATTACCCCGATTGCTCGGTATTTCCAGTGTTAAATAGATTAACGTTCCGACGACGTATTATTAACGAAACGGTAAATGTCGTGTCGTTAACCAACAAGTATGAAACAACGTGCCGTACACGAGTAGCTGAACGTTTAAAAAAAAAAAAAAAAGAGAAACAAAATTGTTAAGCAGCGTGACACAGTGTTAATGCCGTGAACAAAGACGATGATTGCAGTGGTTGCCGGAAAATTCCTTTTCTATGTCAATATTTCGCTTGCAAGTTAAGACTCGTTATCGTTCTATCCGCTTTGCCTTTATTGGCCAGTTAACTTCGGAAGACGATTCGACTCGTCGCTCGTTTTGCATTTACTTCGATTTCGTGAAAATGTTTGCTACAGCTCGTCAGGTTTCGAGTATCGTACGGTATCGTGCAGAGAAATTGTGGACGTTTACGCGAGCGTGAAGACTTTGGACGTTATTTTACAGAAATTTGGATCGTATAAAAATCGAACACATTCGTTAACAATAAATCTACCGATCGAATCACCCCTTTCATACTTTTTATTGAACAATTATTGAAATTACGAGAATATTTCTATGGGATTTGATGTAGTCAATTTCTTTGTTCAAGTACGTTTTCTAACAAAGACCGCACAAAGTCTAAATAAATCCAGTCGTGACGGCTTTTTTTACGTAAATCGTTCCAGTTATATTGTTACTATATTGTATTTGTATATAATATTGTATGTATATTTTATATTATATTTGTATATGATATTGTATATATATTGTATATTATATATTTGTGTATAATATTGTATATATATATTATACTATAATATATATAATAATATATAATAAATAATATAATAATATATAATAATAATATACAATATATATAATATTGTATACATTCCAACGTATATCGCGTTATAACAATGACAAGATCGAATTTATTTAAACTTCCTACGATTTTCATTACAATATAATACTCGAATGAAGAAGTTCGTATAAAAATGTTTCTGTCACATTTTTATAATATCAGAAGTTTCGTAAAAGAAAATATCGAAAATGCTTGGTAAATTTAGCGTCGAATATCGGCCCTGTCACGAATACATGGAGATCCACGATCGAATCGTAGCTGAACTCGTCGGAAGGCCATGATAATGATACAGTCTACTAGGAAAGCTTCAAACAGAGGATCAGTTTTATTAACCAGTGTATCGAAACGAGAGATAGGCGGCTCTATAAAAATAGCACCGAAGATTGCGCGGAGGTAATAAACAACGAAACGAATCATAAGCTCGACGACCGGGATTACGATGCGGATCGGGATTCGCTCCGTTACGTTGGTTTATCGAAATCGTCGTAACACGTGACAGACAGCTTTGTACGCTCGAGAAAATCTGACCAGCCAGTTTAGTTTCCCGTCGTTCCTCGGGAGCAACCGAAAGGCATAACCGTGAAAAGGAACCGACGAGGTGCGGCTAGTTGCGAGCGGATCAAACGAGATTACACACGTTAATCCTTTACGCAAACGGGTCGAGGAGCATGCTCAACTATGTATTCTTTATTTCGCCATGATCGATAAATCGAACCTCGCCAGGTCGTAGCACAAATACGTTCGTTTCTCGATATTTCATCGTAAAGTCGCTTCTACGTTGTGAAACTACGAGCGATTACCCCGTTAACGCTTTCCTCTGGCGGCGTCATCGGTGCGTGGGTGACAGAATTATTTATCCGGATTAGAAAAATTAACGTTCGCGCCGATTTATCGCGTCTTCCTGGTTTCATTCGGATCCGCGAAACGTAAGAATCTCGAAAAGGTAATTCTAAGAAAATAATTATAAGAAAAATGAATCGATTCAAACGATGAACATATTCAAAGAATTTAAGAACATCTACGTATTATTTTGCAACCGGATGCAATTATTAGAGAGAGAAGGAAATTTCTATTTGACCGGTGCCTGTTGCAATCGACGAAAACCATTTTTATTTTGTATTATTATATTATATATAATAATATTTATATTTATAATATAAATATATATAAATATATATAATATAAATTCTATTTGACTGGTGCTTGTTATAATCGACGAGAACCATATTTATTTTGTATTATTATATTATATATAATAATATTTATATTTATATTATAAATAATATATATAAATATAATATATATATAATATAATATAATAATAATAATAATAATAATATATATAATATAGTATATAAATAATATATATAAATATACATATTTATTCATATTTTGATTTCGTACGACGCAACTTTTCAAGTTCAATTCGATCGAATCAAATATTTTCGTTTTATTAAGTTATATAAAAATAAGCATTTTCATCGTCGATTGCAAAGAGCAGAAGGCAGCCAGAAAATTCATCGTTTCCTGGATATAAAATTTCAGTGAGCTGAAAATACAGCGATACGGCAATATTCTTAAAAACCTTCGATCTGCTTACTGTTTTAAACCGCGCCTCTTCATTTTCGTCAGAAACGCATCAAAATCCGCGGTCCAGTGATCATGCTCATAGCGGA